CAATCCCACCCTAATCCTCTTTAACATAAAATTATAATCACAAAATGGAGGCCAACCACACAATTCTGGGAATCATGGCCCAGCCAAACTGATACACACATTTTTTTTGGGGACATAATTCAAACCATGACACTGATAATTACATGAAATTGAATACCGGAGTTGGTTATCAAACTCACACCTTCCAAAGGCTCTGCCCTGAGTCCCACAAGTCTCCTCATCTCTTTATTGGCCTAAAATGAGTCTTACTTGTCCACACAGGAACTCAGCTACCCAACCACCTTTGAGAGGTTGCAGCGTGGAGCGGGGAGAGCACTGGACTTGGAGTCTGAACCTCTTGAGTCCCAGTTGCCCACTGGCCTGCTGGAGAACATCAAGCAAACTCCTTCTCTTGTGCGGCATTCAGTTTCCCGTGGTCACTTGGACCTATCTTGGAAGTCAGGTAAGGGAACCCTGTTCCCAGAGGCCCCAGATAATGACTTGCAGGCTGGGGAATGTGATGGCTGAGTGTGTGGGGTAAGAGTGTATGGTGGCCTCTCTGGGGAATGGGGAGAGGGATGTTAGAGGTCACAAACAGAAGCGAAGATGGTTGTTTGGTCCTGGGAAAAGGGTGGAAACCACAGCTTTTATTTGAAAATTAGCAGAAAAAACCCCAAAAAATTATGTCTCTTGTTCCTCCCTTCCCCTTTCCATTTCCCCTTTTTCATCTTCTCAATATGTTTTCTGGTTTGATTTTCTAAAGGCAAGTTTATAGAGGTATAATTTCATATAATACAATTTGCCCTTTTAAAGAGTAGTTTGATGAGTTTTGACAAATATATACAGTCATATATACATATATATCAAACATGTATAAACATCAAGTATACATATTGTCTTAGTCATCTGGTGCTACTCCAAATGAAATACCATGAGTGGATGGCTTTAACAAAGAGAAATTTATTCTCTCACAGTCCAGTAGGCTACAAGTCCAAATTCAGGGCGTCAGCTCCAAGAGAACGCTTTCTCTGCCAGCTCTCTGGGAACGTCTGTGTCATCATTCTTCCCTTGGTCTGGGAGCTTCTCTGCACAGGAACCTCAGGTCCAAAGGACTCGCTCTGCTCCTGGCACTGCTTTCTTGGTGGTATGAGGTTCCCATGTGTCTCTGCTCACTTCTCTCTTTTATATTTCAAAAGAGATTGGATTAAGACACTACCTAATCTTGTAAACCTCATCAGCATAACCTCATCACCATGATAGAATTTACAACACGTAAGGAGATCACATCTAACCTCATCATAGTGATAGAGTTTACAACACATAAGGAAATCACATCAGATTACACAATCATACAGTGCTGGGAGTCATGACCTAGCCAAGTTGCTACACACATTTTCGGGGGGACACAATTCAATCCATGACACATATGAAATATAAAAACTTTCAAAATAAAAAATTCAACATGGCAAAAAAGACCATACGCAATGTTAAAAGGCAAATGACAAACTAGGAAAAATATTTGTAACTCGTAAAACAGATCAAGAGCTAATTAAAATGGGCAAATGATGAACTTGCACAGGTGGGAGAGGATACGGGCATGGCTGCACTGGAGGGAACACAAATGGCTACAAACAGGGGACGTGTTAAATACATTCTTGCTTATCCCTGCAATGTTAGGCTACGCAGTTGTAAAGGAGAAAGATGATGCTGTCTAGGTAACTTACAGAAAGCTCTCCGGGACGTATTTTCTTTCTTTTTTTTTGAAGCGCTTCTTACTTTTCTTTTTTATTATTATTATTTTTATTGTACTTTAGATGAAGGTTTACAGAACAAATAGTTTCTCATCAAACAGTTAGTACATATATTGTTTTATGACAATGGTTAACAACCCCACGACATGTCAACACTCTCCCTTCTCAACCCTGGGTTCCCTATTACCAGTTTTCCTGTCCTTTTCTGCCTTCTAGTCCTTGTCCCTGGACTGTTGTGCCCCATTAGTTTCATTTTGTTTTATAGGGCTGTCTAATCTTTGGCTGAAGGGTGAACCTTGGGAGTGACTTCATTACTGAGCTAAAAGTGTGTCCGGAGGCAATACTCTGGGGTTTCTTCAGTCTCTGTCAGGCAGGTAAGTCTGGTCTTTGTGAGTTAGGATTTTGTTCTACATTTTTCTCCAGCTCTGTCCGGAACCCTCTGTTGTGATCCCTGTCAGAGCAGTCAGTGGCGGCAGCCGGGCACTATCAAGTGGTACTGGACTCAGTCTGGTGGAGGCCATGGTAGTTGTGGTCCATCAGTCCTTTGGACTGATCTTTCCCTTGTCTCTTGTTTCCTTCATTCGCCTTTGCTCCCGAAAGGGTGAGAGCAGTGGAGTATCTTAGATGGCCACTCACAGGCTTTGAAGACCCCAGACGCTACTCACCAAGGTAGAATGTAGAACATTTTCTTTATAAACTGTGTTATACCAGTTGAGCTAGATGTTCCCCCAAGGCCATGGTCCCCACAGCCCTCCACCCAGCAATTTGGTCCCTCAGGGAGTTTGGATGTGCCTATGGAGCTTCCATGACCTTTCCTTGTACAAGTTGTGCTGGCTTCCCCAGTATTGTGTACTGTCTTACCCTTCACCAAAGTTACCACTTACC